AAACTTTATGGAATCAACACCATCATGCTCTGTGGGAAAAAAGAAAAACCTTCTGCTCCCTTAGCTCTGCTGGAAGCTGGAGGGTGCTAGGCCCCTGTGTAGTAGTGCATAGAATTCTAGCTTTTTTCCTCCTTTCTCTGTATATTGGGCTCAGAGATTACACTGTGTCTCTATGTGAATATGGACAGTTAGCATTTACCAACATGTATCTGTCTACTTTCTCTTGTTTAAAAAAAGAAAAAAAAAAACTTAAAAAAATGGGGTTATAGAAGGTCAGCAAAGGGTGGGTTTGAGATGTTTGGGTGGGTTAAGTGGGCATTTTGACAACATGGCTTCTCCTTTGGCATGTTTAATTGTGATGTTTAACGGACATCCTTGCAGTTTAAGATGACACTTTTAAAATAAAATTCTCTCCTAATGATGACTTGAGCCCTGCCACTCGATGGGAGAATCAGCAGAACCTGTAGGATCTTATTTGCAATTGACATTCTCTATTGTAATTTTGTTCCTGTTTATTTTTAAATTTTTCTTTTTGTTTCACTGGAAAGGAAAGATGATGCTCAGTTTTAAACGTTACAAGTGTACAAGTTGCTTTGTTACAATAAAACTAAATGTGTACACAAAGGATTTGATGCTTTTCTCTCAGAACAGATATACTTAATATGACTTTGCAAGTTTGACTTGTATAATGTTACTGTCAAACTTTGTCACCTTAACTTCGTATTTTTTGATATGCACTTTGCAGGATGACCTCAGGGCTATGTTGATTGAGTAAAGGGATTTGAATCAATGTATTAATGTCTCCATAGCTGGGAACCCATATGGGTACAATTTGACATCAGTTTCTGAAATTTTTCACATCATTTGGGATATCAGATTGCTGAAAGCTCAGTTCTGAATATGTTGTACCCTTGATTTGTATCTCAAATTGCCATTTCAAAATATGGGCTTTTATTTACCTGGATATAATAGTGCCTGCCACCACCATCCGACAGACCTGGTGCTCTACTGCCGAGTTCATACACAGGACGATTGTTGGCATGTCTTCGCCGGCACTGTAAAATGTGGCCGAGAAGACAGGCTTTCAGAGTAAGAAGTCCGTATTGGTGGTAAGAAACTCAGGTTAGGAGTACTTTTGTCTCAAAGTACCAGCTCTTTTATCATATAGCTCTCAAATGAGACCTGTCTGTGTGAATCTGGGGGAGATGATGGACTCTGCTCTGTCTGCTAAATGCCATTGTGTATAAATCACATTTTGAGAAGCTACCTAATGCATAAGCTTTTTAATGCTGTAAAGTATAGTAGCTAAAGTTAAATGCCACTTAGCTTTTTCAGAGATGAATTAATGGACCGTCTGGTCAAATTCAAAGCTTTTTGATGTATAAAAACTTTATAAATGGAACTATTCCATCAGTAGGCAAAGTGTAACGAAAACCTGTCTAGATGGATAGTATGTAATTTCTGCACAGGTCTCTGTAGCAAATACATCACTGTATACTGGTCAGGAATCTTGCTCCAATAAAGGAACATAAAGATTTTTTTGGCTGGGGTCATTCTCCTTGTTTTACAGAGAAATGTTGGTACTTGCTTTTGAATTTAGATGATGAGCTAGTTTTTGCTTTGTTTTTGTTTTTTGGTCTTGTTATTTCCGTTCGTAGTGACTGGGAAATGGGGAGAGCTGTGCTTCAGATCATAGGTACGTCTGTGTGGAAAGGTATGTTTGGAAGTCATGGACAAATTACTGTTACTTGGAATGTTATAGATTCGTGAGGGGATTCCTGTATTTTGATTTTGAAGTCAGCATTTAAGGGACTTTTCACTACGGAAGAAAAACAAGTCACTTGAAGTAATACTCATGAAGTAAGCCTGTGATTTTTGTTTCACAGAGTGACAGCTTACCAAAACTGGTTTTTAATGTGCTGGTGAGGTCATGGCACTGTTAGGTTATTTAATCAAACTACAATGTTTATTTTGGGGAATGTGGTCAAAAGATAGGAGCCCCTAAAGGTAATTTCTTCCCAGTTATTGAGACAACCCTTTAGCTTCCGCTGTGGCCGTAAATCTGAAGGAGTGCTAGGCTGTGAGAAGGCAGAAGGGGCAAACTTAGTGTACTGGAAGATGGCTACAAAGTAGTGTGCTTTGTTTGCAACTGCAAGAGTTCTTGGGCTGGCCCTTAGGCAAGTATGTTTTGGGAAGTGCCAGGTGAATGGCTCAAAGCGCCTTTGGTACAAGGACATCTAAAAAGGAAGGAGCAAATAGTGGCTGTTTAGCTCATTTCTCTTGGGACATCCTCTTCCAAAGCTGTGCCATACTCTGCTTACAAGGGGAACTTCACTGCATGAATTGGGGCAGAGAGGACAGTAGCTTGTAATGTGTCTTTACATTTAATTTAAAAACTTGTACGGAATGCTCTGCAATCGAGGTTGCCTCTCCAGTGATGTACTGATATTTTTAAGACTTTAGTCTGTGCTCTCTGACCTCCATGAGAGGCCCTTACTATTTCAACCAATGCTGGCTCTAAAATGTAGAGTTTAAATGTCTGTGGAGTACCTCAGTGTCTTGTTGGGCTGACAGATTGGCTTGGCATCTGCCCTGCTTCACCTGTGTTAGCTGTTTGGGTGCCGAAAAGTAGGAGTCTTTTACTTGATGGATTCTTGGGAGTTTGGGGGCTTAGAGGGCTGTATAATTGTGTTTGTGTATTAATTTGGTAATCTTTATCATTACTGCTTTATAACAACCGGTTTCATGGTTTCACTTGGTCCCATAAACACAAATTTGTTTTTTTTGCCTTTTTTGTTATATTTTGCTTATAAACCCTTTCTGGCTATGGTCAGAATGGGATTCTATTGCAAAAAACGAAGACTTGGAGGATTTCATTTAATGAAGACTTACAAGTTTTATTTTTAATGGGCCTGAGGGGACAGGGACTGCAGTTTTGTGATGAGAACAAGAACAGGGAGGACTTTTAAAGTGGAGGGTATGTTACAACTTGATTAGTTAGTAACGTTGCATACTCAGATACTACCCAAGGGAGGCAAATCTAAATGTAGATGGATTGATGTCTGCAGTACCAGGAAGGAAAAAAAAAGTATAGAAAGGGGTAAATGTTTCTTTATGTAGCCTGCTGGGACAGTTCCTTTCAGGTTGATGTTACACAACTTTAACAGCTCGTTAGCCAGAGTTCGTTTGGGCTATTCACTACCCGCTGGGTGTTAAATGTGAACTTCAATTTTCCTAAGAATTACAATTTTATGAAGCACCATCACCATCAGACATGTAAGATGCAGCTATCTTGTCAGACTCATCCATCAGCCCAGGGCTATAGGTTTGTCCAGCCTGGGGTTCATTAGGAAAGGTGGATGTGTTCTATTTCTGAACCCCTTTCCCTCAGTGGCCACTGAGACAGTGAAACACTTCACAGCAAACTTAAAAATCATTGTTCTTCCACATAATTCAGCTTTCTGGCTGGAGGATTGGATAAATGAGCCTCAAGATGGGAACTAGATACCCTCCTGAAAGGCAGAGCTTTGCTCGTTTGATGTTTTTTTTCTGAAACCCATGACCTACAGTCAGAAGCTGGTAGTCTTTTTACCTCCCAGTTATTTGTTAACATTCAGCTTAGGGCACTTCGATAACCCCCACTTAAAGGAGCTTACCATGTGCCTGGCCAGCTTGCTTACTAGCTGTTAAATGTCTAGCCTTCAATAATTCTGATTAGTATATATGTAAAAGTGTTGCACTTGGCTCTGATTATGAAGTCGGCATGTCCCCCAGTGAACCAAGTCTCCTTAGCCTATGTTCATGTCACTTGGTTGATTTTCCCATTGCAGGACAATCCCAGGATTGCCCATGTTTTGCCGATTTCACTTTCCAGTCCACTGTGAAGGAGGTGATAGAGCAAAGTGGAACTGACATGGTTTCCTCCTATAAAAGCACTGGAGGGCACCTCTTCCAAGTCAGCAAATAAGCCACCTTCAGTATTTGAGCCTTACTCACTTCCGGCCCCTTGGACAAGGCTCCTTCCAGTAAAGTCCTGGCACAAAGTGCTGGTGAGCATTGGATAACAGGAATTGCCTAAACAACTCTAGACTAGGCAGTAAAGAACCAGGGTCCCCTACGTACCTAAGCCATTGCAAGAACCGCCTAGTGCAGGCTAGTTTCCTGAAATGGTGGCTTTTTCTCAAGGTTTAAATGTGTATTCTGTTTAGATGAGCCCTTTAGGGCAAAGGCTGAGCAGCTCTGGATGAACCAGAAAGCTCCAGTCTAGTCAAGTGATGGGGCGGGGGTCCTGAGGGATTTTGGATTCGTTTGTAATTTGGTGTAATTTGGGTAAGGCTTTATTGTTTCCCCACGCATACATTCTTACAGTGATTACAGACAGGGCCAAGCCTCCTTGGGGGGCGACAGGTATGGGATTAGCCCATTTTACACCAATGACATGGGAGAGGAAGAGTGACTCCGGGCGGGAGCCAGGTCGCGGCGGGGTTCCGAGGAAGAGGCTGACCCGGCCCAGAGAGGACAGACCACACAGGCATTGCCCCGCGGCCGGCAGGCGGCGCTGTCCCCACCCGGGCCCGCCCCTCTGGGCGCGCGACCCGGCAGCTGGAGAACTCCGGCCCGGGAAATGTCCTTTTCTGCCCTTGTATCGCGGGGCGGGGGTCAGTGTCTCAAGGAGCGGGAACCGCGGCCTCAGATGAGGGGCGCTGGGCTCCAAATCCCTCGGAACATCGGATCCGGGGGAGGCGCCGGGGCCTCTGGGTCAGGAGCCGGGCTCGATCCCTCGCGGCCGAGAGGCGGCGCTGATCCCAGGTCCCGCGAGGGCCAGCGGACCTCGGGAGGGGGCGCCCGATCCCGCGACTCCGGCGCCGCTTCCCGGGAAGTTTCAAGTTTGAAAGCCCTGGCGGAGGGGCCCGGGCTTCCGGAACCGGAGTGGTCGAGAGGAGGGGCCGAGCTGCCCGAGCGGCGCCATGGAAGAGGGGGCGCCGCAGCAGGTGAACGGCGCCCGGAGGGGACGGGCCTCGGGCGCGGGCCGGGGGGTAGGGGGAGGCTCATTCACCGCCCCGGGCTCCGGCCGCGTCCCCAGTCCCTCCCCGTGTCCCTTCCCAGCCCTTGCCCTGCGCCCCCCTACACCTTCGCAGGGCAGACCTGAGCATTGGGGGTAAGTCGTTCCTGCCTCCTGGAAACGTCCCCAAATCACCTCCAAGTGAATCAGAGCCTCCAGTCAGGCCTAACCATGAGCACGTCTGGGTCCGCAGTCAGGGCCACCAGGGTGGGCCCCAAAGTTTCCTAAAATCTGTTCTTCCAGGTGACACTCTAAGGCCGATGTGCATCCGCTGCGAAAGCAAAGGGGGGCCGTGCAGGCACCTAGGGACGGGTCCTGGGAGGGGAGAAGAATGTGTGCGGCAGGCGGAGGGTGCCACTCCCACGCGGTCGTGGGGTCCTTCCCAGAGCACACAGGCAGGCGGCGAGTGGGGACCCCAGAGGAAGGGGCCTACCCAATTCCCGGGGGAACCCTCGGGTACACAGGGTTCCAGACCAAATGGCGAGGGGGCGGGGTTCTTGCCGGAGTTGGCAATAGGTTCGCGTGGGACCGAGGCTGTGTGTCTTATTGGGGTGTGTGGGGAGAGGTGGGATACTAGCCCAGAGCAAATGGGTGTGGGGACGTTTGTGTACAAGATAGCGCCCCAGCCGCGGAGCCGAAAGGGAGAGGTGTGTGCGCACTTGGCAGGATTCCAGCCCAGAGCAGGCAGGACCATGGGCTCTGGTCAAGGGTGAAGTGTTGTCCACAAGACTCCTAGAGTGCCCCCACCCCTTGGGCAACTTTCAGGGCTGCGTCTGTGCCCTCCCTCCCCCTTCCTCCGGAGGTCCCTCTGCCTGTTCCAGCCGTGGCTTGTACATATTTTCCGATTTCCTGTTAACCTCCGCCCAGCAGCGGCAGCTGGGTGACTCAGGACCCCGGTGCCGGGCCCCCAGCTCCGTGGGATCTTTGTTTGCTCAGGCCTTTGGCTCTGGCCCTCTGGCCTAGGGCCCTCAAAGGATTTCCTGAGCCCCGCCCCTGCCCTCTGACAGACGGGCCAGAGGGCCAGCGGAGGCCTGGGGTGGGGGTCCCCAAGGCTCCACTGGGCTCAGGAGATGGAGAGCCGAGAGGTAAGGTGAGGGCTCTGAGGCAGTCCTGGGTTGGGGGCATCATGGGTTACCCTGGGCTGAGGTCAGCAGCAGCACCCGTTGGTTTGAAATGGCCTCTGGGAAGGAGCTTTTCCTCTTTCTTGCTCTCGCTTGGGATGAAGCAGTGAGAGAGCCTTCTAATTCCTCCCAGGAGCTGAGCTGGGAGTGGGCCCCGGAGACCTCCTCAACCCCTCTGTGCCTCTGCTTTGCCAGCTGGGGTGTCGGAAGATCAGGGGAACAGCCCTAGCTTCCACTCAGGCCACAGGCTTCCCTGTCTGCGTGACCTTGGTGGTGGCAGGGGGGCCCTTCTCAGTGCCAAGCCTCTTTTCTGGTCCCCAGACCTTAGCCTGGATCCCAGACTGAGAGCAGCCCGATGTAAGCATGACCGGCAGGGAGAGGCTGGGGCCCAAGAGATGACGGTGCATCTCCTTCCCTGTGTTGTGGCCTTGGGCAAATTACTTAACCTCTCTGTGTCTCAGTTTCCTCATCTATAAAATGGGGATAATAACTACACCTACCTCATGGGGTTGCTGTCAGGATCAACAAGTTAATGTCTGCACAGTTCTTAGAACAGAACACCATGTAAACATCAACAATTTTTTCCCCCTTACTCTTCTCTCTGATGGCACAGGACAGGAGCATGGGCTGGATAAATAGCCTTGGGGTTTCCATCTGGCTTAGGGATGCTAGCTCTAAGCTCATAGATGCTTCCCAAACCATGTGTGTCAGTCCTGGGTGCTGACTGCGCCTGCCTCCCTTCCCCTCCGCCTGTGATGAGCTGAGGCCGTGGAGGTGGGGACTGAGGGGACTAAGGCCTCTGCCTTTCCAGCCTGGGGCGGGCCAGTGGCCCCCAGGGGATGAGAAAGAGGCGATCCGCCGGGCCATCCAGAAGGAGCTGAAAATCAAGGAGGGTGTGGAGAACCTGCGGCGGGTAGCCACCGACCGCCGCCACCTGGGCCACGTGCAGCAGCTGCTGCGGTCCTCCAACCGCCGCCTGGAGCAGCTGCACGGGGAGCTGCGGGAGCTGCATGCCCGCATCCTGCTGCCTGGCCCCGGGCCTGGCCCGGCTGGTGAGTGAGGAATCTGAGCAGGCCCCTCGGGACAGCAGGCGGCAGGCTGACCCAGCTCCTTGGCCTCGGCCCTGGCCCTGACCTCTCTCAGAGCCTCCTCTTGTAGCCCCGCCCGGGAGGGGCGGGGAGGAGAGAGCTAGGCCATGAGGGGCTCTCGGCTCTGGGGGAGGGGTTCATGAGCCCCACGCTCTTTGCACACAGAACCTGCGGCCTCAGGACCTCGTCCGCTGGCAGAGCAGCCAGGGGCCCGACACCTGGAGGCTCTACAGAGGCAGCTGCAGGTAGAGCTGAAGGTCAAGCAGGGAGCCGAGAATATGACCCACACGTATGCCAGTGGCACTCCCAAGGTAAGGCCCCTGGGATCTGAGGGGAAGAGATTTGGCTCTCTGATTATTAGAGAAGATGGTGATCCAGACCCTATTCTTTTTTTTTTTTTTTTTGAATTTTTGAATTTTTTTTATACAGCAGTTTCTTATTAGTTATCTATTTTATACATACTAGTGTATATATGTCAATCCCAATCTCCCACTTCATCCCACTACCAGCCCCTATTCTGATAGGGAAATGCAACCCGGCCATTGACCCTGTAAGAGAGACAGTCTCACCCTTAGTCTGACGGGGGAGGCAGAACCCCAAATCTCAGCTTGGTGGGAAAGGCATGGCTCGAACCCCTTGTCTAACAGAGAAGGCAAAACACGTCTAATGGGGAATCTCAGCCCAACTCCCAACCCGTCCCAACCCCCAGCATGATGTGGAGGCTCGCCCTGATCTAATAAGGGAGGCTTGACCTTAGCGCTCCCTTGTCTAGTCTGATGGGGGAGGTCTGCTCCAGACCTAGTCTAAAAAGGGAGGCTTGGCTGTAGTATCTGGCCTACCGAGAGAGGCTTAGCTTCAATTCTGGACAGATGGGGGAGGCTTGCTCCAGTCCCTGGTCTGACCAGGGAGGTTCTGGCCTGGTCCTGGCCTCAGGGGGCATATGTTACAACCCCACAGGAGAGGAAGCTTCTGGCAGCCGCCCAGCAGATGCTACAGGACAGCCAGCTGAAGGTGGCCCTGCTACGAATGAAGATCAGCAGCCTGGAGGCCAGCGGGTCCCCTGAGCCAGGTGAGGCCTTGAGAAGTGTGGATGGGCAGAGCGGAGCCGGGCATGGGCCTGAGGGCTGACCCCCTCCTCCCAGGACCGGAGCTGCTGGTGGAGGAGCTGCGGCACCGGCTACGCATCGAGGCTGCTGTGGCCGAGGGCGCCAAGAACGTGGTGAAGCTGCTCGGTAGCCGGCGAACGCAGGACCGCAAGGTGCTAGCCGAGGTCAGATCATGGTCCCCACCCACTGCTGCTCCTCTCTGAGTGGTACCACCCTCTGCAGTGGCGGGAGACACTGCTGGACTGGCTGTGAGGGGTGGCAATGAGGAAACAGGAGGCACATTCTTGTCTAGACCTCAGCCAGGGTGTCTCCAGGTGGCCTGAGCCGCTGCCCCCACCGTTACCCCATGGCCCTGTATCCCTTCTGCAGGCTCAGGCCCAGCTCCAGGAGTCCTCCCAGAAACTGGACCTCCTGCGGCTGGCCTTGGAGCAGCTGCTGGAGGGACTGCCTCCTGCACACCCTCTGCGTGGCAGAGTGGCCCGGGAGCTGCGGACTGCTGTGTCTGGGAACCCCCAGCCTTCAGGAACACTCGTGAAGCCCACCGCCATGACAGGTACCCGGGAGTCCCTCCTACTTCAGAGCTCTCCTTCCCTTCCAGGGAGGAGGCTGAAACACAGTGGGGAAGAATCTTGGAGACTTCCAATCCTGGCCTCACCATCCCCTAGCTGTGTGACCTTGTGCAACTGACATCCCCTCTCCAGACCCCGGTTTTTCACTCTGTCAAATGGGGGTGATAACAGCACCTATTTCATAGGGTTGCTGCGAAAATTCAGTGAGTTGTTGCGTGTGAAGTGCTCAGCACCGTGCAGGCACAGAGATCGCTCAGTCGGTGAAGCTATTATTTAAGTGAGGAACCATGAGAGTGCTCAAAGTGCCAGTGTTAGGGAGCTCATAGCCCTGGAGGCCTTGATACCCAGTTCCGGGCAGTTTGGGCTGTTGGAAAGTTCTTCTTTATCCCAAGCTGGATCTGCCTCCAAATAATCTAACAGTGTCAACTCTGGAAGCCCTGAACTTCCCACCTGGGACATGGTGCCAACTAGAGAGCCCAGCCCCTGCCAACACAGAGCTGATGCAGGGTAGACGGGCCCCATCCCACTGTGAGCAGAGCTGAGAAGGGGAAGTACAGCAGCTGGATGGGCCCCCTCACCTGGCCCCTGGGGAATCAAGGAATGCTTCCTGGAGGGGGTGGTGTCTGAGCTTGGCCTCGAATGGCTTATGTGAGTTAGCCAAGTAGACAAGTTGGGGAAGGTGGGGGTAAGGCCTTGTTAAATGGCCTAAAATTCAGGTACTTGGGGCCACCCCACATCCTGTCTTCTGGCTGAATGCCCGTATTCCTCCAATCGTTCTTCCACCCTGGCACTGCCTTGTTTTATGAGGTCTCTCAGAGTGTAAACCCCAGGCCCAGACTCCCTAAATGGTGCTCTTAGGCCCAGTGTATGTCCTCAAGGGCGGCCAGAGTCCCACTGCTTCCTCTGCCCTTTGAGGGACACGTCTCTAATGACCCTAAAATGAATCTGCTTGGTTGGCAAAACACGCTTGTGCCCATTGCAGGAGGTAGGGCTGAGCTGGCGCTGCTTTCCGCTGTGCAGATGGGGAGACAGGCCCGGGGAAGCGGTGGGACAGGTCCGCCAGCCAGGCCTCCTGCTCTTCCCTGGGCTCTCATCCCTGCCGTGGCGCTGTTCCTAGGCCCTGAGCCCTGAGCAGTGTGTCGCCACGCGCTGCGGTCCCGTGCAACCCGGCTGAGGTCTGAGTCTCACTCCTCTGCCTGTGTGTCCCTGCTTCTTCCAACACGTAGAGAGTGTGCAGGAGGGGAGGACCAGTTGGCCGGCCCCAAGAGTGGCAGGTGGCTGCCGAGGCCTAATGTGGGCAAGGTCTGTGTTTAGCTATACCTCCAGGAGAAGGTAGCATTCCTGGGGTCCCAGGGGTCCATTGGAGGACGGCACCTGATAACGGCCCCCCACCATGCTCCCTGGCAGGGACGCTGCAGGTCCACCTCCTGGGCTGTGAGCAGCTGCTGACAGCTGTGCCTGGACGTTCCCCCGTGGCCGCGCTGGCCGGGACCCCCTCCCAGGGCTGGCTTTGGAGCAGGGCCAAGCAGCAGCGTGGTGGAGGCGAGCTGGCCAGTGAGTAGGGGGCACGGGAAGCTGGGGAACAGCGAGGGACCCCCGCTCCCGGCCTGCCCTGAGCCCTGGCTCTGGCCCCACAGGTGAGGTGTTGGCCGTGCTGAAGGTGGACAATCGCATTGTGGGCCAGACGGCCTGGGGGCCTGTGGCCAAGCAGTCCTGGGACCAGACCTTTGTCGTCCCCCTGGAGCGGGTGAGGCTGCCTTGTGTGGACAGGGGTGACCGTGGGCCGTGGGGTGGAAGGCCGGCCAGGTAGTGGCTCGTGCCACGCTCCACCCCTCAACCTGGCCTCCCCACTGCAGGCCCGAGAGCTGGAGATTGGGGTGCACTGGCGGGACTGGCGGCAGCTGTGTGGCGTGGCCTTCCTGAGGCTGGAGGACTTCCTGGACAATGCCTGTCACCAGCTCTCCCTCAGCCTGGTGCCGCAGGGGCTGCTCTTTGTCCAGGTGCCCACTGGCCCCTGCCCTCTGACCTCGTGGGCCCTGGCTCCGTTAGAGCAAAGAAGGGCCTTTGAGCCTGTGCTCTGCACCCACACGTAGGAGTGGAAATTGAGGCCCAGAGGGAGGAGATCTAGAGGAGGGAAGGATTCCCAGCCCCTCTCTGAGGACTTCGTGGGAGCCTAGCGGCCTGCATCCTTGTCCTGTCTGCCCTGCCGCGTGTGTGACCCTGGACCACCTCTCTTCTCCGGGCCTCGGTTTCCCCTCTGGTCCCAATGAGGATGTTGGATCCATCTCTCTGAGTCCTTCTGGCTCTTGTGTCTGTTGACATGAGCTCAGGCTGGGAGCCTGGAGGCTGAGGAGGTGCCCGTGGCAGGTGGGGTGGGAGGGGACTGGTCTTCAGCCCTGCCCCCTGCCCCCGCAGGTGACCTTCTGTGACCCTGTCATTGAGAGAAGGCCCCGGCTGCAGAGGCAGAAGCGCATTTTCTCAAAACGCAGAGGTGTGGAGTGGAGAAGGCTGGCTAGTAGGGAGCAGGGCTGGGACCCTTAGGAGACCCCGGGACTGAGCCCCCTTTTTCCCCAGGTCAGGACTTCCTGAGGGCTTCCCAGATGAACCTCAGCATGGCGGCCTGGGGGCGCTTGGTCATGAGCCTACTGCCCCCCTGCAGCTCTCCAAGCACCATCAGCCCCCCGAAAGGGTGCTCCCAGACCCCAGCCACACCCCGGGGGGCCGCCGACCCTGCCTCACCCAGGTGAGGAGCCTCGCCCCAGGCTGTCTGCTTCTCTGTGGAGTCACCTCACTCCAGATGCAGACAGTGCCTGTCCCCGTTGCTCGCCCTCTGACCCGTCTCTCTGTCTCACGCGGCTGTGGGTCCACCCCCGCCCCCGCATTCCATCCGCCTGTGCCCGGTCGTGTGTCTGCTTCTTCCCCACAGTAATTTCCCGCCCAAGAAGACCCCCTTGCGAGAAGAGATCCAATCCCCACCCAAGCCACCGCGCCTCTACCTGCCCCAGGAGCCGACCCCCGAGGAGATGCCGGTGAGCGGCGGCAGGGCTGGTCATGCTGGTGGCTGTCTGGGTGGGGACGGCAGGGCTGGAGGGAAGAAGGAGAGGAAGCCCCCTCTGCCCTGAGCCCCTCTGCCCTCACAGAGCACCAAACGCCCCCACATGGAGCCCAGGACTCGACTCGAGCCATCTCTGCCAGCCTCAGCCACCAGGTACCCCTGGCAGGCTCACCTTGGCGTTTGAGAGAGACATCTGTCCACTCACTTGGGTGTTTGCATGTCAGGCGTTCTCACATCGCCCCGAGCTCTTGGCTTGCTCTCAGGTTCTCACTTGCGGAGCCCACGTTACTGAGCTCCACCTGCATGCCAGACCCCAGGAAATGGCAGTCCTAGGAGCTCCCACCCGGCCTCTCCAGCCCCTGCCCCTCTTGCCTCACAGGTGGGGACAGCCCAGGACCAGGCGTGGAGGGAGGGTTTGGAGTGGCCCTTGGCGGAGCCCCAGCCCTTGTCCCAGGGGCTTCCTGTACCCTCTCTCTTGCAGGAAACCCCCCCGGCTTCAGGACTTCCGCTGCTTGGCCGTGCTGGGCCGGGGCCACTTCGGGAAGGTAGTGGGCTCATGAGGTGCAGTGGAGGGGGGTGGGCAGGCCCCGACACACGCTAGCTAGGGGGACTCTGGGGTCTGTGGGGCAGTGGGTGGGGGAAGTAGACTCCTGTACTGCCCACCTGGAGCCCAGTCTCTCTCTGGTCCCCAGGTCCTCCTGGTCCAGTTCAAGGGGACAGGTCAATACTATGCCATCAAAGCGCTGAAGAAGCAAGAGGTGCTGAGCCGGGACGAGATAGAGAGGTGTGTGCTGAGGCCAGGGGGTTCCCGGCATCCGGGCACGTGGAGGGTACCCAGGATGGCAGGCCTGGGCTGGTGGCCCCGGAAGGCAGCTGAATGCTACTGGGGCTTGTAAGAGGTGACCCTGTGGGGCCAGCCAGGCCTGGGCTCTCTTGTTAGCAACTGCAGTTGTTAACTGTGTGCCCTTGGGCAGGTCCCCTCGTTTATGCACCTCAGTTTCCTCATCTGTGAAATGGGAACAGGGTGGTTGTACAGGTTCAAGACCTATGTAAGGGACTTCCCTGGTGGTCCAGTGGTTAAGACTCTGCGCTTCCACTGCAGGGGGTGCTGGTTCCATCCCTGGTCGGGGAACTGAGATCCCGCATGCCACACAGCGTGGCCAAAAAAAAAGACCTGTGTGAGCTCCGGATACACGTGAACCATCACTCTAGCTGCCTCTGGCACTTTGACTTAAGAGCCAGTGACCCAGGGGTGTTGTGTGGGTGACAGGGCGTAGTCAGGGGAGGTTTTCATTCCCTTTTGGGTTCCCTCCTTCCCTCTAAAACCCACACCCTCCTCTTGCAGCCTGTACTGCGAGAAGCGAATCCTGGAGGCTGTGGGCCGCATGGGGCACCCCTTCCTACTCTCCCTCCTTGCCTGCTTCCACACCTCCAGCCACGCCTGCTTCGTGACTGAGTTTGTGCCCGGTGGCGACCTCATGATGCAGATCCACGAGGACGTCTTCCCTGAGCCCCAGGCCCGGTGGGTTCCCACCTCTCCTGTACGCCTCTTCCAGCAAGCCTTCCCTGCTTCCCTGTACCTGGCGACGCCTTCATCCTGCTTCCTCCAGGGTGCCCATCAGCAGAAGAGCATGGAGTCAGGGAGGCCTTGGTTCAAATCCTGGTTGTCAACCCTCATAGCGTTTGTGACCTCAGACCTCAGTTTATATAGCTGTGAATTGGGCTAATGATAACTATTTCATAGGCTTGTTGCATGGATGAACATAACATTTAGAAATTGCTGAGCACAGGGACTGGTGAGCAGTAAGTAACCAACAGCTGGTGGTGTTATTTCTTGCCCAGCAGAGTGGGCTCTGGAGCCCGGATTCACATATCTGCTCAGCCACTAGCTGTGCGACCCTGGGTGTGTCATTTACTGGGAGTCTGAGATCCTCGTTTGAAAAATAGGCGTGACGGGTGTCCACAGCAGGCTGCTGGGAGGATGCCAGGGTCGGCGTGAGGATACTCGGTGTCATCCCTGGCACAATCTCAGAGCCCAGGAAGGGCAGGCTGTTATCTGGAGGAGCTCCACCCCTGCTACACATGAGGCTCCTCCCAGTCTCTCACCCCCACATGACTCTGGCAGGGATATCTGGGGTCCCCAGGCCATGGCCATCCTGGTGCCTCCCTGCCCTGTCCCCCACAGTCCTGGGCCTGAACTACCCCCTGCCCCAACCCTCCAGGTTCTATCTGGCCTGTGTGGTCCTGGGGCTGCAGTTCTTACATGAGCAGAAGATCATTTACAGGTAACTTGCCCCCGAGATGCTGGGGGAGTGGGCGAGGGGGCAGATGCTACCCTCCTCCTGGGCTGCTCTAGGGTGGGGCCGCTGTTCCCTGGGCCTCAGCGCTTCTTAGCCCCTTTGATCTGCCCCGCCTTTGCCCTCAGAGACCTTAAGTTGGATAATCTTCTGCTGGATGCCCAGGGTTTCCTGAAGATCGCAGACTTTGGGCTCTGTAAGGAAGGTGGGTGCCTCCTGTCCAGGATCCCGTCTTTCAGTCGTGCTCACTCAGTCCAGGCCAGCAGGGTGGTGGGCAAGTGGCAGCTCCCAGGAAATCTGCCTCCCAGCCCTCATTCCAGGGACTAGCTGGACACATTGGCTCGTCCTTCCCAGCCCTAAAAGCTCTAAAAGAGCCCCTTGCCCTTGGCCAGAGGGAGCTCCTGGGCCGGGAGAGGGCACTGGGTTCTGCTTTCTGCGTGACCCTGGCACACGAGCTTGTCTGAGACTCAGATTCCTCATCAATCAAGTGGCATAAAAACCGTTCCCACCTCCGAGGGTGTGGGGCAGGGCTCGGCACAGGTTCAGACATGGGGTCATAAGGAGGGTGGGTGCTTGATTCTTACAGCGAGAGGTTCTTGTGGGTAACACACCACGCTGGCATCAGTGTGGATGTCGGTTTGCAGGGATTGGCTTTGGGGACCGGACGAGCACCTTCTGTGGCACCCCGGAGTTCCTGGCCCCTGAGGTGCTGACCCAGGAGGCCTATACGCGGGCTGTGGACTGGTGGGGGCTGGGCGTGCTGCTCTACGAGATGCTGGTGGGCGAGGTGAGCGCTGGACGGGGTGCTGGTGGGGCCTCCAGGTCGGGTGGGGGTGGGGGGGGCCCACGTACCCTGCTGAGCCCCATCCCTGCAGTGCCCGTTTCCAGGGGACACCGAGGAGGAGGTGTTTGACTGCATCGTCAATGCAGAAGCCCCATACCCGCGCTTTCTGTCGGTGCAAGGGCTTGAGCTCATTCAGAAGGTAATCGCGGGGACTTCCCCGGTGGTCCAGTGGTTAAGACTCTGCACTTCCACTGCAGGGGGCGCGGGTTCAATCCCTGGTCGGGGAAACTAAAATCCCGCAAGCTGCGTGGCGCGTCCCCCAAAAAACAAAACAAAACAAACTCTTTAGGAAAAAAAAAAAAAAAAAAGAAGGTAATCACCGCAGGGTCCAGGGCTGGGCCGACAGCTGCTCGTGGCTCAGGGATCCCTACCCGAGAGGCTGGAGAGGGGGAGGCGGGCAGGGCCTGGGGCCCGAACACCCTGAATGAGCACCTGTCCTGTCCCCCAGCTCCTCCAGAAGTGCCCCGAGAAGCGCCTGGGGGCAGGGGAGCGGGATGCTGAGGAGATCAAGACACAGCCTTTCTTCAGGGTGAGTGGCCAGGGCCGCAGTGGTCCAAGAGCCTGGCACAGTGGGAGGCATCGAGGGCCCGCGGGGCTGCCGCTCCCGTGGTCTGAGGCACCTCTACCCTTGCCCCCAGACCACCGACTGGCAGGCCCTGCTCGCCCGAGCCGTCCGGCCCCCATTTGTGCCCACCCTCTGCGGCCCCACAGACCTGCGCTACTTCGAGGGCGAGTTCACGGGGCTGCCGCCTGCCCTGACGCCGCCTGATGCCCGCAGCCCCCTCACGGCCCGCCAACAGGCTGCCTTCCGGGACTTCGACTTTGTGTCCCAGCGATTCCTGGAGCCCTGAGGGCCTCCCGGGCTCTCTACCCCCTGCCCCCCCGACGGTTGGAGCCTCTGCTTGCCCGCCTTTCTGCCCGCCTGGGCGCCCCGGTATTGATGAGCCCTTGGGACTCAAGGTGGCGGCCACGGGCTGCTGTCGTGGGCTTTGCTCAGTCACCGGGCAAAGTGCTGCCTCCCCTCCCTTCTCCCGACCACCTCTCCCCTGCCCGTTGCAAGACCTGGACCCGAAAGGGAGGCACAGCGAGGAGCAGTTTGGTTTGTTTTTTTGAATACTTGACTTGCTTTATGGATTATTAAATTTATAAAACTGTGCACTGGAGGCAGCCTGGCTTGGGGTGGGGAGGGTGGAAGTCTCCACAACCCAGGTCCTTGGTGCCCAAGCTCCCCATGGGTCCTCTTCCTCCTCTTCTGCCTTTGAGGCAGGGTTCTGTCCTTCAGCTCCACCCTGAGGCCTGGGAGGAGTGGGCAGCAGTGAGGAGGTCCAGGCCCTTGGAGCGCTGATGCCCCCGGGTGCAGCCCCTCTGGTTTTCAGGCACAAGACGGTGGCCCGGCCTCTAGCAACCCTAAACATCCTGGCTGCTGCCTTCCTCGTCCTCAGCCCAGAGGGTCTCCCAGGACCCCGAGGGCCATCCACAGAAGAAGTGGGCCAGGTTGCGGGTCAGGCCGCGGTCGAAGGGGTTGCCGGGGCGCTGGCGGAGGTAGGCGATACGGTGTGAGGAGATGAACTCCCAGGTGGTGGTGTTGCTGGCCACCAGGTAGAGGTGCGAGGCCAAGAGCAGGCTGGCCACCAGGGAGAAGAGCGACAGCAGCAGGAAGGTGGCAAACAGGAGCCCACTGGACCGCAGCCAGAGCCCCCAAGGCCGGAAGAAGCGGAGGCCAGACCTGCAGGGAAGGAGGGGGACAGGGACCCAGAGCTGGCGGATATGTGGTTGGCAGTTTTGCTCCAGGGACCCCAGGTGGGCCGGCCATTTGGGAGAGGGTCCGAGGCCCCTGAAGAGGGAGCCTGGCTCTCTCCACACCTGGTGGGTGCCTGCTGCCTGCCCCCCACCCACCACCCGGGGCGCTGGGGGAACCCACCATGCCAGGTACAGGCCCCACAGAAGCACCACCAGCTGCAGCGCCAGGTAGGCCACGAACACTGGGTGATTGCGCTCCCCCACGCAGTTCTCCATCCAGGGACAGTGGTGGTCATATCGGCGGACACAACGACGGCACTCACGGCAGTGACGCGCCCGCAGGGGTTGCTGTGGGCACACAGGGAATCAGGCCTCAACACTGGCTCCCTTCTGGACCCAACAATGTGGGCGGGAGGTCAGGGCTGGCATCTGGGAGGCCTTCCTGGAGGAGGGATGAGGCCAAGGAGCCTCAATCTTGCCCGACCCTCCCACGGAGGTCCCTGCATCACCCACCAGCACCATGCAGTATCTGCAGCGCCGAAGGGGGATGGCCTGAGGAACCATGGCTGTCTGCTCTTCCTTGGCCTCCTCCTGAAAATGGGGGGACACAGTATGAGATGGGGTTCCCTTGGGAGGCAGAGGGCACTGGTGGGTAGCTCCCTTGGGGGCCAGCTTAACTCTGGGTGTGCACGTTTGGGGATCCATCCCCTGTGTAATGGAGGTGGTAGAGTGGGGGCAGAGTGCCCTGGACGGCGAGGCTGTGTGACCTTTGCCAGTTACTTCCCCTCTCTGGGTCTTGGCAATTTCCTCATTGTAGGATGGGGCTCTAGGTCTGGCAAGACGATTCCCTGGGATTCCCTAGGAAAGCCCTCAGCACAGGGTCTAGCATGAGATTGTTACTGGGGCCTTGAGTTCCCTGTTGTGGGGGAGGAGATGTTTGGGAGCCCTGGTTACCTGGGGCTGGGGCAGGACATTCACGTATCCCGGGTCCATGAGTGACACAGCCAGGTAAAGCAGCAGGGAGCCCAGTACCAAGAGCAGGAAGGTGAGGGGCACGAGCAGCTCCCCCTGCTCTTCCCACTGCCGCAGCGCTGGAGAGGCCAGAGGGGGAGAGTGAGGCTGCGGCGACAGAATAGGAGGGTGCAGGTGAGGGGTGCAGCTGGAGGGGGGAAGTGTGTCCCTGGCTGAGGGAAGGCCTGGAGTTGGAGTTTGATGAATGGTCAGGTGTGGCCACTGCATAGGGTGCAGGAGGGAGAAGTTCACGTTCAGCAAAAAAAAAAAAGCAGCAGTTCATCTACACTCTCTCTGGAGCGCAATAGAGAACCATGGAAGGTTATAGGGTCAGGTATGTTTCTGAAAGCCCTCTTACTGCTAGAGAAAAGATGGATCAGAGGGGAGGCTTATCTGGGACATGGAGCGGAGCGTGTCTGGACAAGGGCAGTGGCAGGAAGGGTGGAGAAGAGGGGATGGACAGCAGGGTAAGGAGGCTGATGGGGCCAGACTTGGCTGGATGTGGGGGAGAGGGAGGAGGGGTCTGGCTCTGAGATGCGGAGAAGCTGGCCAGGTCCAAGATGCCCAAGAGACAGAGGAGGGCAGGGTCGGCAGGCTGGCTGGGATGCTGCAGAGGGACAACAGGGGAGCCCAGGCAAGGAAGGGTCCAGCCCATGGAGGTGACTGAAGGATTTTGGGAGGCGGGGGGCTGAAGAGCGAGGGGCAGGAGACGGCCAGACAGCCGAGTGTGGCCAACTCTGGTGCCCCTTGACTGTAAAAGGGAGCGGAGAAGGAAAGGGGGTTGCACTGAGGGGGGGTTCTTTCTGATGGGGAGACTGAGCAGGTTTTTAGGCTAAGGGGCAGAGGCAGTGGAGGAGACTTGAGGTCTTGGGAGGAAAGTGAGAACGCCCCCGGTCCGGGGTTTTATGCTGGAGCAAGGAGGGATGATGAGTGGGGGCTGTGATGGTGGTAGTGAGGGAGGGTGAAAACTTGTGCTGGAGGTGGCCACAGAGGTGGCCTGTGGTGGGTAAAGAGGAGGAAGGGTGGAAGGGGGTTGATGGGATGAATGAATGCTACGAGGGCGAGAATCAAGGATGAGGACGTGAGGGACAGGCTGCTCCCCTATGCGGTGTTCTCTTGCCTGAGGCTGGGGAGCCTGGACTTGGGCAGCTAGTGGCCACAGGGCTGGGCGGGACGCCAGTCCTTCATCTAGTTGATCCTCGGAATCTTGGGAGTCAATTCCTGGGAAGGGTCGGGCGGGTCCCAGGATCAGGGGAGAAGGGGGCTCGAGTCGGTCGTCGGATCTGGGGCACCGGGTGGGTCCTGGGACAGACAGGGTATCTGGCAGGGATCAGGAAGATTCTGGAATTAATTAGAGATCAACTGGGTATTAGGCAGAAAGCAGGTGGCTCTTGGAATGAGAGATGGGGAGGGGGCCTCAGGATGTGGAGGAGATTGGGTGAATCCCAGGATCTCTTGGGCTTCGGCAAGGGACTCAGTGAGACCCAAACATCTAGGGAATCATGCGGGATCGGGGGGGTCCAGGGTCGCGCGGGGTCCGGCTCACCGGTATCATGCAGGAAGAGCACCAGCGTGATCCCCCAGGTCAGGACGGTGTGCCCGGTCCGCACCAGGACCCCAGGCCTGAGCAGCGCCCACGGCGCCATCGCCTCTGCCCGGGGCCCCACCCGGAAGAAGCGCTCAGAGGGGCGGGCCCTCCGAGGGAGAGGACCCACCGCCACCCGGGGATTGGAGGAGACAGGCTGTGGGCGGGGCCGACTTGGGTGACGGAGACTGCCTATTGGACGATAGCTGCGGCCGAGTAGGCCCTCGAGCCCACAGGTGCCTGAAGAGGCTGAGGGCGGGGCCGGCGCGCGCGCAGCCGGTAACTCCCCCAACCCCACACCCCACCAGCCAGGTAACTTTCGAAAGCCGGGGAGCCGTCGGGAGCCTCGACCCAGCCCCACTGGGGTTCCACCACCAGCCCCAGGGCCACAGCCTAACGCATGCGTACAGCTTCCTGGACGCTTCAAAGATCCAGGTGTTGTGACTTCAGGTTGCAGAATTGTGCGCGGTTCGGAGATGTGACGCCTGAGGCCTCGAGAGGGGCAGGACTCGCCCAAGGTTGCGCCGTGGTGATACCCTTACCTCCTATTCATTTTCAGATATTGCAGATGGGATGAGAGCAGAGTGGAGGTACGTGGTGCAGATTCTGGCTATGAGGGGCCCAACTTGGGTCAGAGTCAGAAATCCCAGCACTGCCTCTTCCTACCTGTATGAGTTTGGGCAAGTTACTGAACCACTGCGAGCTCTGTTTTCTGTCTGTGTAATGGAGATGATAATAGTACCCCCCTGCTGAGGTGGTTGGAGGACTTAATAATGGAAATAAGAGTGTCTAGCACAGGACTGTCTTGTCTCCCCGGCTCTAAGCCAGCACCTACACCCTTCAGCCTTGCCCAACCCAGGGCTTCAGGCCAGGGAGGTCCCAGTGCAGCTTTGGTTTGTATAGAGGTGACTGGGTATTTTAAAGGGAGAATGAGGGAGTTGAGATGGGGAAGGGTAGGGGCTTGAAGAGACTCAGAGCAGTGAAAAATTACAAACAGTGGGTCAGGGTAAATGCTGATTAGGCCAGCTGTGTCTGCTATCTGGCAATAATTGAAGTTCAGCTTCTATCCTCCCACAGAGACTGGGAGACAGAGGCCTGATCCTTCCTGATGATTACATTTTAAAGGGATGGCTATCAGGTCCTTGAGAAAGACACTCCTGAGTTGTAGGAGGTACAAATACACCTCAGAGGGACAGAGAAAGCATTCACAATTGTAAGCCCTTTTTAGTAAATGCTCTAAGAAAGGGTGGTCAGGGTGTTGGTTAAAAACAGTAAATTCTTTTGGCAGCCTGGAGCTTTCTCAGGCAGGCACTTTAAGGGGGGGCTAGGGTCATCCTAGGGATGTGACCTTGAGCTGTTAGAAGCTATGTTAGTGTTTAAGTCTTTTAATGTCAGAGGTGGGAGTGAACGAAATCACTTGCGCTGAAGTCTGTAGTTGTTTGTGTTTTTTTGCGGTATGCGGGCCTCTCACTGTTGTGGCCTCTCCCGTTGCAGAGCACAGGCTCCGGATGCGCAGGCTCAGCGGCCATGGCTCACGGGCCCAGCCGCTCCGCGGCATGTGGGATCCTCCCGGACCGGGGCACGAACCCATGTCCCCTGCATCGGCAGGCGGACTCTCAACCACTGCGCCACCAGGGAAGCCCTGAAGTCTGTAGTTTTTATAGGCCAAGGTTGTGGCCTAGTGGAGAAGAGGGCCTGGAGCCTGGCTACAGTTTGGCCTAGGAGAGGGCCTTTGTCACTGGGCACTGGGGACACACCACCTGGCATGTTTGGGAATGGTTCCACTTGATCTGGGACCAGCACCTAGACTGTTCTTTGGGGAAGAGCTCTCCCTTATTGGGTGCAGCCTCAGTAGTACTTCAGGGGCACGGAAGTCACTGCTGATATTTACACTGGGACAACAGGTGTAAACCAGGACCATCCTGGGCCAAAGCTGAGTCATCTCAGGATTTGGCCCCGGCTCCTTCATCCCCTCCTGCTGGCGCCCTCGCCCTCCACTCTGCTGCAGCCACATAGGCGGCTTCGTGGTTCTCCCTGCGAGGTCTTCTCCTGGCAGGGCCCTCTGCCCAGGACACTCTTTCCCTGGACCCCTACAGCCAGGCCTGGCAGCCCGGTCTTTCTGCTGGATTCAGCTCGCATGTCTCCGCTTGTGAGAAGCCTCCCCTGCCCAGGATACCACACTGTCCCTTATCTGCACGTATGCTCTTCCGTCTCCCTAAGGGGCTGTGGCCCAGCTAACTCCAGCCTCTGCTGCACACTCCCACCGGCCCACAGGAGGGACCTGCTCTGTGCTCCCTTCTCCCTGCTCCTCACACACTGGGTCATAATCTCGTATTTAACATTTGTCTCTACCATCAGACAGCCATTCTGGGCGGGGGCCCTGTTGGTCTGTTGCCAGCTGTACCCTCAGTGTCTGGGCACAGGGGTGTGGAGAGGCTGCAAAGGAAAAACAGGTGCTCCAGCCCGATCTGCCACCTGTCACCAGTCTGCAGTTGACCCTCTGGGCTGGGCACACAAACTGACCCAACGCAACCTCACTCAAGGCCCACTGCCTGAGCCAGCCCAGGGCCCTCTCCAGACCCCATCCCTTCCACAAAAAAAGACACTCTGCTCCACTTTGCACAAAAATGTATTTCTGTGACATCCCGAAGTACAGACATTTACCCAGGCCCCAGGTGGTAATGCAATGCAATGTGAGCTCTGCCCGGGGCCTGGCTCAGGCCACGTGAGCATGGAAGGGAGGGGCAGATGTGGCCCATCTGCTAAGCTGAGGGACACAGGGCAGCTGGCCCTTCCCACGGCTGGGAGCGAAAGACCCCAGGGGAGAAAGGCCAGGTGCCTCTCCCCTGGGCTGCTCATCCAGACCGCTCTGTCTGCAGGCAGAAACACCAGGAGAATCCAAAAACAGGCCCAGGGAAGGAGGAGGGAAGAAAAGCCACCCCTCAAGGGCCACCTGCAGAGTCAGCTCTGCTCCCCAGCCCCTTGTTCCAGAGGGGCCTCCTCACCGCCGTCTGTGCCATGAGAAGCAATTCGGAGTGACATCAAGGGAGGACCACAAGATATTTCAAGATACGTTTGTGTCTCACACTTCTCTGAAACAACAGCACGGAGGTTTCCGAGGGAAAGCCTGGGGTCAGTATGGGAGGGGCGCGGGAAGGGCCCCGGAGGGCCGGGCAGGGCCGCTGCAGGATGTGCCAAATGCTGGTCTGGAGGTGTCTGCCTGTTGCCACCGGGAAAGGGTGGCTTGGGGACCTCCTGCCTGTGAGAGAGGTGTGGGGTCCTCTGGGCAGCGGGGCAGGCAGGGGCGAGTGAGGCAGGCTCAGTTCTGCTGGTGGGGTGCCTGGGCACCATGGGTGCTGCGGGCAGATGAGGGGTAGGGGGTGAGGGGAAAAAGCCCCTGGCCCCAGGAGGTGCTGGCTTCCAGGGTGGGGGGCAGGTTCTGGATATGTTTGGCAGAAGGGGCAGTGGAATCTGCCTGAATTCTGACCAGCCCTGGGCTGGGGCCTTCGACAGCCTGGGACCTGGTGGGAGACTAGGAGGCAGCCTCCATAGCAGCGTGGCCTCAGGCAGGCCTGGCCAGAGGGCAGCAGAGCCACTGTGCGCTCCACTCCTCGAGGGCCCTCTGGGGCTGGGACTGCCTGGACCTAGGCAGGTACGGCTTACTTGCTCGCCCCAGAGGCCCACAGCCGAGAGCACCAAGGCATTTGGGAGACCCAGTGGGGTTAGTTGTAATCTCCAAACCCCATCAGCTGCACCCAGGAACCTAGAGGGCGTTCTCAGGCTTTGGTGGGTGGGTTAGGGTGCTGGAGTGGGCTATCGAAAGCCCACTGCCTCTCCTAACAGGAAGGGAGGCCAAGGTCAGAGGTTACAGGGCGAGGGCTGGACACTCACAATGTTACAGGCATTTAGTCTGGCAGGGGTAGGAGTGAGTGTGGCAGCGATGAAGGCTTTGAGTTGGGGCTTGAGAATGGCCAAGGAAGCTGCGAGGACTCAGGGAGTGTTTCTTTTGTTTTTGTACAGAAATCATACACACAAAACTTCACACTTCCTAACCAAAAAAAAATAATATATATATATAATATATATATATAAAATATATATATATATAATATATATATATATTATATATATATATATATATCTCACTAATGTTAAGGAAAAGCGTCGGTTGTGCAAAAGTCCCCCTGTGTCCCTTCATCCAGTTGGGAGGCTCCCCGGGTGGGGATCTGCCAGCTGGGCTGCTTGAGAGTGCTTCCTCCCAGCCTCGTGGTCCAGAGCAGTGGCGGCCGTGGGGGCAGAGGCCTCTATCTGGATGTGTCCATGTTCTCCTCTTTAAAGTTACTGCAGTGCTCAATCACCTTGCTGGAGACAATGAGAGAAAGAGGATTGGAGGGTGGGCTGGGGTTGGGGTGGGCCCAGCCCCTCCCAGCTGATCAGGCTGCGGGATTTGTTAGCCAACGGTAACCATGATGTTGACGCTGAATGAGATGAAGTGTACAAAGTGGTGGGCAGAGTGGCCAGCATGTGCGGGGTACCCAGGAAATGGTACTCGTGGCCACGAATGCCATCAGCCCCGCGTGCTCCCCTCCTACTTCCCCAGGCCCCCTTTCCACCTCTCAGTGCCTGGGCATCTGTGGTTAGGGGCGTCCCTGAATCAGCTCAGGCCTAACCTCCAAAACCTTCTGGTCTTTTTTTCAGCAACATCTTCCTTCTTCACCTTTTCCCTGTACACCCAGGCCTTTTTCTTCCCCAAAGTCTACTGGTGATCCCCAAACTGGCTGCGCATCAGATTCACCCAGAGATCCTGCTCCAGCAGCAGGTCCGGGTAGGGCTAGGGCAGCTGTGCTTGCACAAGTACAAGGGCCCGACACCCTGCAGCGGCCAAGTCCCCGTGCAGCGTTTGGGAGTCACCCCTCATGCTCAGATCTCGAGTTTGTCTCTCACTCTAGTCTGCCCCTTGGGAACCGCCGTCAGGTGTCACCCTGAACCCTGCACGGCCTTCCCGTTCACACTAAGCCTCTGGGTTGGTGGCGGGTGTGTGTGTGTGTGTGTGTGTGTGTTCACGGCAGCCTTCATGTGCTAAAGAGGTGCCTCAATGCCTTTTAGGAAGTAAGGGATGCCTGGGGTGGGACAGGACTGGTGGTGAACAGGCAGAGGGATTTCTCCTAAGCACCCTGCCATCAGGCTGGCCAGCTTGGGTACACACCTCAAGTCTTACAGAGATGTTCAAAGTGACTGGGGTAGGTTACGGGTCAGTCTTACCCAGTGCTTCTCAAACCTCCTGGGAGCCCTGTTGACAATGCACATTCCCAGGCCCACCGGAAAAGAAAATCTAGGGTGGGACTGAATGTTTTTAACAATCTTTTTAGGTGATTCTTTAGGGAGATTAAGTTGGAGAACCACTCATTTTACCATTCTCAAACTCAGACCAATCTGTCAATTAAATGTTTAAGCAGTGGGCTTCCCTGGTGGTGCAGTGGTTAGGAATCCGCCTGCCAATGCAGGGGACACAGGTTCGAGCCCCGATCCGGGAAGATCCTACATGCCGCAGAGCAACTAAGCCCGTGCGCCACAACTACTGAGGCTGCGCTCTAGAGCCCACGAGCCACAACTACTGAGCCTGCGAGCCACAACTACTGAAGCCCGCATGCCTAGAGCCCATGCTCCGCAACAAGAGAAGCCACTGCAATGAGAAGTCCGCACACCGCAACGAAGAGTAGCCCCCGCTCGCCACAACTAGAGAAAGCCTGCGCGCAGCAACAAGGACCCAACATAGCCAAAAATAAATAAATTAAAAACAAAAATAGCGTTTAAGCGGTGCCTTTTTTTTTTTTTTTTTTTTTTGCGGTACGCAGGCCTCTCACTGTTGTGGCCTCTCCCGTTGCGGAGCACAGGCTCCGGAAGCGCAGGCTCAGCGGCCATGGCTCATGGGCCCAGCCGCTCCGCGGCATGTGGGATCTTCCCGGACCGGGGCACGAACCCGTGTCCCCTGTATCGGCAGGCGGACTCTCAACCACTGCGCAACCAGGGAAGCCCAAGCAGTGCCTTTTGCCCACAATAACTGCAGAAACAGCCAGTGAGTAGTTGTCTGGGGAGCCTCTGAGCTCCAGGCCCCTCCCCCACGATACTCTTTATTCTGCGCTGTGCTTAGAACTGGGTAAACTTAACTCTGTTCTCTTCTAGAATGTATCCCGGGGAAAGCAAGGTCGTTACTGCTGATTTCGACATGTAGCATCTCTGAGGGTCTCTCTTGTGCACTGATGGGTGTGAGATCCCGGTAGATGATATTTTAGACCCGGTAGTGAAAACGACACAACAGAGGAAGGCCTTGATGGCCCTGCCGTGTCCGGGGCCTTCACATTCAGAAACTCATTTGCATTCTGCCTGATCCCTATGTATTTTACCATACTGTGTCCTCTCTTTAGTTGGAATGTCTTTGGCCAAAAATAATGACAAGTTCTGACCTGACTTGCTAATGCCCAGGGATGAGAGGACGTAAGAAAATAAAGCTTACAGATGAGGGCAATGACGCTCCGCTCAGAGCTTGGTCATCCAGTTTCCGGCCGCACTGTGGCCAAAATGACACTCAGGGAGGCCCCAGCTGGACGTCAGTATGCTGTCCACCTCCTCACTCAGCTCTGAGTTGCCCCTGGGAATTTCAGCCATTCCTAACCACGAGAGGGCTTGGCTGTGTCCCTCGCTCCCCCAAGTCTAGGCTCCAAGCAGAAACACTGCCAGTCTCTCACCGGGCCATTTCCTTGGTCTCTTGCCGCGCGGTTGCCATCTTGATCATGTCCCTCAGGAGGGGCATTCCACCTTCTTTGATCAGCAGGGGGCAGTACTTGTCCGCTATGGATAGGGACAGACAGCAGGTGATCAGGGTGGGATTTCTATCAGCCTGTTGCTCAGAAACCCACCCTTGCTGCAAGAACTGCCCTCCCAGAAGGCGGGATGAAGACTCGGCCCTGAGTGAGGGCACTGCTGCAACCGGCCAGGAGCCATGTTTGCCCAGCCCTGGGGCCCAAGTTCTGAGGCCACCTGGGGGAAGCAAGGGGTGAACCCCTTGGAAAAGGCTCTTCCCTTCTTTGCCTCACTGTGGCATTTCCCCCCGCCAAATGTCACCCAAACCAGCACCTTCTACTCTGAGAAGTTTTTGTAAAAATAGAGCTTCCTAAGCACTGCCCTTGGCTATCCTGATTCAACAGATCCAGGAACCTGTTTATTTGTACTTTTAACAAAATATTTCCAGCCAGGATGGAACCACCAGGGCTACCTATTGGGTGGCTTCATGGCTCACTCCAACAGAGAACATTCTAGGGCTCGGTATCCAGGGCTATACGCTCCACGGAGAACACGGGCATGTCAGTGGCCCTCCAGCAGCTCTATGTCGTAGGAGCTATTTTTATCATCTCCATTTAATGATGAAAGAGCTGAGTTTCAGAGAGATGAAGTAATCCACTCAAAGTCACTCTAGAGGCTTGTCTGAGGGAGTCTGGGCTCAGGGCTCTTCCTCTGTGCTACACTGCCTCTTTGAGGTAAGGTGCTACTTTTTAGTAAGACTAACCTCAAGGAATAATAGAAAATTGGCAAATGCTTACTGAACAGCTGGGATGTGCCAAAGCACTCTTCCAAACACTTTACATGTCTTACTTCATAGCAATCCTATGCGGAAAGTACTATTACTACCCCATTTTAAAGATGAGGCAAATGAGGCATGGAGAGGTTGAGAAACCTGCTCAAAGTAACACAGGCAGTCTTCCCCCAAGGCCTGCACTCTTATTCACGCTGCCAGTAGCAGGACTGAGCAGTATCCAGGCACCAGGGCTCAGCACTTTCTGCTGGTTCTCTTTTCACATCAACCTTATGAGGTAAGTGTTATTATCCCCATTTTACAGAGGAGAAAACTGAGGCCCAGAGAGGTTAAATAACCTGCATGAGATCACATAACCAGTAAAGGAGAGAACTAGGGGTCAAACCTGGTCTGCAATCAAAGTCTCTTGGTGCTGCACCCTCTTTTTCCTCTCCCCCAAAGCCACTGAGCAGAGGACAGTTCAGGCTCTTCTAAAAGGGGGTGGGAGTCTCTCCGAGGAAATGAGTGAGACCTGTTTTCAAGTTCTCTCCTGTTCTCTCGGACGTCTGTTTCCTCGGGGGTTAGTTCTTGGTTTGGGTTGGTCTTACCCTGCCTTACAGAAGGCATGGAGATTTTTGACTATTCACTTGTATGGAAGCAGGAAACATTAAGAAAGCTGTCTGGGATCTCTGGATGGGCTGGCTCATCTGCCAGGCCTGCTTCTGCCGATGAGGCAGGGGCCAGCCATTATGCTGGGTGTCCCACCAGTGCCAGAAAGCGGAGGGCTGGGTGCTGAGACGCAGACACTGACACCAGCTCTCATAGTACTTCCACCCGGATTATCACCTCCCTGAGGGCAAGTCTGCTTTCAGCCGATGAGTGAACAAAGGGTTAGTGGGTACTCACGGTAGACAGACACCAGGTTGTACAGGGCCCAGGTGGCCCAATGCTGGCTGACAGGTGAGATGCCCTGGGGAAGGAGGCGAAGAATTGGCTCAAATGACCTATAGGAAGAAAAATCAAGGTCACTTTTTTTTTTTTTTGCCACTCCGTGCGGCTTGAGGGATCTCGGTTTCCTGACCAGGGAATGAAGCCTGGACATGGCAGTGAAAGCCTGGAATCCTAACCACTAGGCCACCAGGGAACTCCCTCAAGGTCACTTTTGATGCCGGGCATTGTGGGGGGAGGTGCATTGTCTCTTGTTGGGGGTTTGTCCTCACTGAAGGGTCCCGTGGACAAATGATGAGCAGGCCAGTAGGATGGAGGGGACGGGGGGCACCCGGCCCTTCAGGCTCCACAAAGAGAGCGCCCTGGTGAGACAGGTCATGAGCACCCTGGGAGGTGGGGGACAAAGGACCCTGGGAAGCAGAAGAGATTGACCGCACTTCCCATAATGGCCTTCTACTACGCATCATCTGGAGTCATGGTCCAAAAGCCTGAAAAATGTATGTGCAACCTCCACCCCCTCCCCGGGCCAGCGATTCCACTTCAGCTCTCCTCTGAAATGACAGTAATTGGAGTGTCGGCAAAGCCACGAGCATGAGCCTGTTCCTCCCAACACGGGTTTTCAACTTCAATGTCCATCAGTACAAGATGGCCCAGGTGCACACAGAAAGTGACTCAGTCATAAAACGATGAGGGAGACGCATAGCTGCGGCTGGAAATTCACACTCGAGATAGTAAGACTTGATGCCAGCTGGACTGGAGGTAATTAAATCTGTGCATAGAAAACTGCTGGAAAGGGAGACGCCAGAATGTTAGGGGGGAGATGCTCTTTTAGGGAATGAATGGTTTCCGTTTTGTTTCCTGCTGCGTGTCTGTATTTTCTCCTTTTTTTTTTCACAACTGGACAAGTATCAAATGTTTGTAAACGACAGGCTTTGGGTACACACAGGTGTCGACGTGAGGAAACAGGCACCAAACTGTAGAGGTGAGATGTGCGCATTTACATGCTGTGCTCTACGTGGACTATACCTCGGTTAGTAACACCTGACACAGGACTAGGAGGAGGGCAAGCAGCTCGCACCAGACCTTGTTGGGAAGGAGCATCCTGTCCTAGCACTTACCCCACGTCCACGTCCCACGCCTCCCCACTCCGCACCTGTAATTGATATTTCTCCGTGAGTTGATGTCCCAGCTCTGGATGGCTGCCCACATGCGCTCCTCTACCTCCTCCCGCTGGGGTTCACAGATGCCCCAGGCCTCAGGGCCATCAAACATGATGTGGGAGAGGACGCCACAGGCATTGTAGGAAACCTCAATCCCATCAGCCTTGCTCTCCAGCAGGTTGCTGCCAAGAAGAGAGAAGAATGGAGTCCTGATCCCCAAGTCCCTCTTCAGATACCAGCTGCTGGACCCCAACTAAAAGACCAGATACCAGAGGTACTATTGATTTCTTTATCACTTATCATTTGTACCCAGATGACTTCTAAAGGGTATATAAGGTCGCTTAAGGTAAGGTACAGCTACAACAGGACCATTTATGGAGGATTGAAAGAATAAGAAACTGCATCATAGAGTGAAGGCGGCATTCCTAACAGAAATCTAGGCTAACAGCAGTTACTGGAACTGAGCACTGACTAGAGCTCTGAGCATCCTGGCAGCCAAGGCAAAAAGGAAAAGAAGAGAAGTACCAACCTGAAGACACTGATGAATTGGGAAGTCATTAGCTGGGGCCGTAGCTCCTTCACCTCTGCCACATTCCCCAAGAGTCCTAGCATATTCCGATGCAGCTCCTGCTTCTCTGGGAACTCCTGGCAAAATGAGAGCCATTGGGGGTCGTATCAATGAGTACTTAATTAGTGTCTGATACTGGTAACCTAGAAGCTTTACGAGCATCTGTCTGGCCATTTCAACTAGATAGACAAAGCGGGGAGGGGGTGGGGGCGGGTGCAATCTGCTGCTCTCCTACCTTCCGGTACACCTAGGACAGTGCTGGGTACACACTACAAGGGATTAAAGTGGTAGAGCTCCCTGCCACAAAATCAAAGGCTGAGTGGAGATCTGACCTATAAAATTATGAATGGGACAAACATGATTCTATTTACCAAAGCTCAAAATATTAGTCTAAGGGAATACTTTTGGAAACTAGAGCAAGACAATCAAGAATGAGTTTTAGGATGAACAGACCATCCTACTGGACAGAATTCTGTCTGGCTGATACCTCAGTGGACCCCAGCCAGACCTGGAGAGTCTGAGAAATCGTGCTGAGAAGGACGGGTCTGAGTTCTCCCTTGGAGGGAGGGCTCTAAGGGAGCGCCCAGCCAGGTCGTCTGGGTCAGGGAAGACCTCTGGAGCTCCTTCCTGTTGGCAGCAAATCCTGGGTTGGCGGGTCTGTGAGTTGACCCCCGCTGCCCTTCCATGGGAACCATGGGGAGAGGGGTTGCTGGGGGACGTGGGGACAGAAGAGCGGCCAAGCGGGAGTAAGGAGGCTTCTGGAGAGGGCGCTACCTTCAGGCAGTCCAGGAAGAGCTTCATGCCGTTGAAGTTAAGGAACATCTCACAGTTGTCGGGGGTCTCATCCGTGATGTTCCACAGGGCGCTCCAGGAGAACTCCATCACCTGGTCACACTGCAGCGGGGAGAGGGCTCAGCACAGGTTCACCTGGATGGGCCCCCAGGCTCCTGGCACCCGGTGACAGGGTCCCCTGACACAATGTGGACACCCCCCCAGGGGCAAGCCAGTCCCTTCTCAGGCTAGGGGAGGGGCAGGGTGGCTCCATGAAGACTCAACTTACTATCTTGTCCAGCAGCTTCTTCTGAATCAGCTTCAGCATGGTCTGTGGGCAGAGAAGAGAACTTGCCAGGGGGGCCAGGGCTTCAAGAGCTACCATGTCCCCCAAGAACCAAGAGGGAGGGAAGAGTCAGCAATTCTATTCCTGTTAATACATCCCGACAAGACCAAATCTGCCTCTCTATTTGCGAGGCTGTTGGGAGAAGTACCACCCATGGACCTGATACTTGGCATCAGGACGCCTGGGTGCTAGTCCTGGCTCGAGCCTGACCCCACGTGGCTGTGGGCACGGCCCTCCTCCTCTGTGGGTTTCAGCCTCCCCAGTGATAACTGAAAGGAGGAGACTGGATGTGCCTTCCTTTCTTCAGCAAATATTTATTAACTCCCCACTGTGCACCAGGCCCTGTGCTAGGAAGTGCCGGGGACGGGATGATGGAAGGAACAAGCACGGCGTCTCTCCCTACGGAGCTCACAGCCAGTGGGGAGGCTGATGTTAAACAGATAGGCCCTCAGATATTTATTTAATCCCAGTTGGGAAGACATAAGAGGGGCACTTGGTCTGAGGAGGCAGGAGTGACTTGTACAGTGGGACCCAACAGGAGAGTGGAGGGGCTGGGAGAGGATGACAGAGTGTTCTCTAGGTGGAGGAAATCTACGGGTCATCAGCAACTTTCACCGTTAGGAAATTCTTCCTTTGGAAGTAGCTGGTTTTTTTTGGGGGGGCGGCTGTTCCACGCAGCACATGGGATCTTAGCTCCCCAGACCAGGGATCGAACCCACAGCCCCTGTATTGGAAGCTCAGAGTCTTAACCACTGGACCGCCAGGGAAGTCCCAGGAAATTCTTCCTTTGGTCCGGCCCAAATCCTCCCTTTGGGCAGTGGGGCTGTGGAGGAGGGAGGGAGACGCAGCCCCCGCCGCGCGCGCACGCACCACGACAAAGCCCATCTTGCCCACGGCCTCCTTGTGGTCGTTGTCCACCTGGCAGACCAGGGCGTTGCACAGGTGCACGGCGATGCGCTGGATCGACTCGTCCTGCCGCGTGGGGTTGAGGATGCTGAGCAAGAGCTCGTTGACTCGGCGGTACTGGAACTCCAGCTCCTCAGGGATGCTGAAGTTGCAGAGGGTCAGGCAGCAGTTCCGCTGGACCTGGGCGGGGCCAGGAGACAAGCGGAGCACAGTCAGGGTCAGCCGTGGGAGCTGGACTTGAGGGGCTCCCTAGAGGTGTGAGATCATCCAGAGCTGTGGTGGTCCACGAAGGCTGCCTGGAAGAGGAGACTACGAGGCTTTTTTTTTTTTTTAATATTTTTTAAAAACGTGAGCTGTAATATACAGAAGAGTGCATAAAACACAAATGTATAGTTTTGCAAATAATTATAAAGCAAACAAGCTTTTCAACAACCATGTAAACACCATTTGGGTCAAGAAACAACATTGCCAGCACCCAGAAGTCCCCATATGTCCCTTCCTGGTCATAAGCCCCTCTCCCCACGAGAGAGCCCCATCCCTGCCTTTCACTTGAAAGATTCTCTAGCATCTTGTGGCTTTTTGTTCAACCACAGGTTTGCAAGATCAACCATCTTGTTATAAGTAGCTGAAATGCATTTTTTTTCATTTGCAGTATAGAATTCTAATTTATTTATGCAGTCCACTGCTAGCGGACGTTCGGGTAGACTTCAGTGTTTGGCTACTTCAAACAATGTCCTGTACGTGCATCCTGGTGTCCACGTGTGTGGGCTCCTCTAGGGCACCCACGCGCAGGGTGGAGTTTCTAGGTCACAAGGTGTGCACGTCTTCAGCTTTACCAGGTAACACCAGACTGTTTCCAAGGTGGCTGTACCAGTTTATACTCCCACCAGAAGCACAGAAAAGTTCCAGTCACTCCACATCCTCAATTACTCTTTGTGCTGTCTGTGGGTTTCTTTCTTTCTTTATTTTACAGTATTCTCAGTGCATTTTCCTCATAATTTCCTTCCATGCTTTCTCAATAGATACTGGAAGTTCACCATACTTCATTACTTATATAAATTAGAGGATATCCTAATCCTCTAATTAACTTGTTAACCCTTGTTAACTCTGTCCTTTTTCTCCCCCACAATATACATATATTTCATAATTTGAGAAAAAAAATTATTTTAAATCATAAAAGCAATACTTACTATAAAAATTTCAAAAAATACTATCTGAGTACAAAGTTATAAAGTCCCCCACTTAATTCTTCAGAAGTAATTGCCGTTAAAAGTTTGATGCAGGACTTCCCTGGTGGCGCAGTGGTTAAGGATCCGCCTGCCAATGTAGGGGACACGGGTTCGAGCCCTGGTCCAGGAAGATCCCACATGCTGCGGAGCAACTAAGCCTGTGCGCCACGACTACTGAGCCTGTGCTCTGGAGCCCGCAAGCCACAACTGCTGAGCCCACGTGCCACAACTACTGAAGCCCGCACACCTAGAACCCGTGTCCCGCAGCAAGAGACGCCACCGCAATGAGAAGCCCACGTACCACAACAAAGAGTAGCCCCTGCTTGCCGCAACTAGAGAAAGCCTGCGCACAGCAATGAAGACCCAACGCAGCCAAAAATATTAAAAGAAAAAAAAGTTTGATGCACAACCTTCTAGATTTTTCTACCATGGAAATACAAATGTATACTTGGGGGAGGGGAGAGGCGAAAGAAGGTTTTATCCATATTGGTCCAAAACTTCTCTTCACTTATCAACATGCAGGGCCATCCATCTTTCCATGTTAGGATGTACAGATTTACCATCACATCCCATGATGTGGGCAGATCTTACGTTAATCTTTCAGGTCCAGGCACCTATTGCTAAAACATTTTGGTTGCCTCTGACTTCTTATTTAATCAAAAAGGGAGGATGTACATGTATCTTTTTCCTCTAAGAACATTTCTAACTGTGGAATTTACGCCAAAAGATAAATGCATTCACAGTTTTGGCAGGTTCTGCAAGTTGCCCTGTGAAGAGGTTGTTCAGGTCACACCTCACCAGTGGAAAGTGCGAGTGTGTTCTTCCCCTGACCTTTGTCAACGGACATCTTCAATCTCTCGAGTCAAAAAGTGATTATCGGGCTTCCCTGGTGGCGCAGTGGTTGAGAATCTGCCTGCCAACGCAGGGGACATGGGTTCGGGCCCTGGTCTGGGAGGATCCCACATGCTGCGGAGCAACTAGGCCCTTGAGCCACAACTACTGAGCCTGCGCGTCTGGAGCCTGTGCGTCTGGAGCCTGTGCTCCGCAACAAGAGAGGCCATGACAGTGAGAGGCCCGCGCACCGCGATGAAGAGTGGCCCCCGCTTGCCACAACTAGAGAAAGCCCTTGCACAGAAACGAAGACCCAACACAGCCAAAAATAACTAACTAAATAAATAAATTTTAAAAAGTGATTATCTTGTTACTTGAATTTCTATTTCTTTGAAAGAGTTTATGAATTTGCGAGTCTTCAGCTAGCATTCTTTTCTCGTTAAAAAAAAAAAAAAAAAGACAAGCCTTTTACCTGATTATAAAATCAATCTCAATGCAGGAAGAACTGTTGCTCTAAGGTCTGGAGTTGGCAGGCAGTGGGAAAGGGGGCCTTCTCATCCCTGCAGAGACTATATCCCCACCAGAGCCTTTCTGGAGGACAATGCAAGAACACGTACCAAATGCTTTAAAAATACACAAACCCACTGCTCCAGCCATTCTCCTTTTTAGACGTGTCTCGTGAGGAGCATCAATTACTTGTATTCAGCAAAGCCTTATTTGAAATAGCAAAACATGAAAAGCAACCTAAATGTTCAACCGTGGGGCTGACTCAGTAAGTGCAGCCCGTGTATTCGGGGGAGCCCCGTCCTGCTGCCCCTCGGGGATGGGGCTTGACCACTGCCTCTGAGCCCCAGCACAGAGTCAGCACCAGGGCAGCCTCTCCTTGAATGGGAACACTTCACACTATGCCGACACCAACAATTAGGAAGCCGACTTGTTCAAACCAGCTGCCCCGGGGGGGAGGAGAGCTGGGATTGGAACTTTCACTTTCTAGTTAGTGCATTTTCTATTACTTGAATTTGTTTTCTAAGCATTAGGTATCTCACTTTTGTAATCAGAAAAGAAACAATGCTTTTAAAATTTTGTTGTAAAATGTTTTGTTGATATGGGAGATGTTCACATTTACAAGACGCTGTTGAAATGAAAATCCAGGTTATACAACAGTACACACAGAATGGTCCCATTTACTAAATAAATATGCACAGACTAAAAGCCACAACAGTAGATATCCATCGTTAATCTTGGCTCTCTGTGTGCTGGGATTACGGGTTGTTGTTGTTTTTTTCTTTTATACCTGTAATTTTTCTCCAGTAAAAATTTTGATTACTTTTATAATAAAAGCAGTTATTGAAAAAAATACCCACCTCAGCAGAGTGTCACTGGGCAGGCTAAGGAGTTAGCACGAGCAAAGGCCCAGAGTCAGGAGGACAGGGCCCCTGGGGGAGGGTGGCAGTGGGCGATGGACTGGCCGGGTGGGGCCAGGTCCCAGGGCCCTGAATGCCAGGTCCCAGAGTCTGGCAGCGATGCCGCGGGAAAGGGGGGTTGGGGGGGGGCGGTACAGAGCCAGGAGAGAAAGGGCGAGAGCAAGCATGGCACCGGGAGGGCTCTGCGAGCCTGCTGGCGAGGCTGGGGCACACAGGGTGAGCAGGAAGTGGGGTGTCTGGGTCAGAGCAGGCAGCGGGTGGGGGCTCACCGTCACCTCCTGGTAGGATTCCATGCCATTCAGCACCACCTGGATGACCTGCCGGCGCAGCTTGATGCTCTGCTCTGAGCGATACTCGGAATTGGTCAGGTAGAAGAGGGCAGCGCTGCCCGTCACTTGAATGTTCTTGTCATACTTGTGGCACTTGAGGGCCGTGATGACCAGCTGTATGAAGACAGAGTACGGGCCGGGGTTGGCCAGGCCTGTCCAAGTTGCGCGGGGACAGGCCTGGGGCTGTGAGAGGGGCTTGGATGGTCCTCTGGGGCAGGGCTCAGCCTGATCCTGCTGCCTGAGGGCAGAAGTAGGGGTTGGGGAGCAGAAACTGGGGCAGGCCACAGTCCTGGGACGAGGCCAGTGCTGGGGCAAGTTAGGCACCGCGAGGCGGGGCTGGGGTTTGGGAGGCGGCACGGCTGGTGTCCTGGGGAAGAGGAGGGGTGTAGAGGAGGGAGTGGTGGGAATGCACCGGAGCCCGAGGGCCCCCAGGGTCGGGACTGACCTTCAGGGCCCGCAGAAGCTGGTTGCAGCGTTCAATGCGTGCGATGTCGAAAAGCAGGTTGATGGCCCGTGAGGTGATCTCCGGCCTGTGCTCCGTGTAGGCCTCGATGGCATTCAGCACCTGTTCCTCATTTTTGTCACCACTCACCTGGAGATGGAGCATGATCAGAACATCCCAGAAGAGGCCAAGCACTGGGATGCCCGATCCCAGTGCCGCCATCTCTAGGCCCAGGGCAGACAGACCCCTCCTTCCCTTCTCCCGGGGCACCCTGGTCCTCCCCTCCCCCTCCCCCTCTCACTTTGTAGGCCGGAATGTGCGTGAGGCGGCACAGGGAGGTCTCGAAGAGCCCAAGGAACTGCAGTGGCCTCTTCAGAGCCCGGAACGGCATGATGCTGCTCTTGGAAGGCTCGATGCTGAGGGAAAAGGGTGTTGGGGTGAGTGGCCTGGGGCCCGGGGCTGCCCTGGGTCAGCACAAACAAGGGCCTCTCCCTGGGGGGTGGTGAGGCGTTTCCTTGGGGCCCTCTGCTAGGCCCTCCAGCCTTGTCTATTTTGTTTTTGATTTTTTCTTGGCTGTGTTGGGTCTTTGTTGCTGAGCACAGGCTTTCTCCAGTTGTGGCGAGCAGGGGTTACTCTTTGTTGCGGTGCACGGGCTTCTCACTGGGGTGGCTTCTCCTGTTGTGGAGCACGGGCTCCAGGCATGTGGGCTTCAGTAGTTGTGGCACGCGGGCTCAGTAGTTGCGGCACGTGGGCTCAGTAGTTGTGGCACGCGGGCTCAGTAATTGCGGCACGCGGGCTCAGTAGTTGTGACACCCGGGCTCAGTAGTTGTGGCACACGGGCTCAGTAGTTGTGGCACGTGGGCTCAGTAGTTGCGGCATGCAGGCTCAGTTGTGGTGGCACGCGGACTCTAGAGCGCAGGCCCAGCAGTTGTGGCGCACGGGCTTAGTTGCTCCGCAGCACATGGGGTCTTCACGGACCAGGGTTCGAACCCGTGTCCCCTGCACTGGCAGGAGGATTCTTATCCACTGTGCCACCAGGGAAGCAGAGAAGTCCCTTTTTTTTTTTTTAAAGGCAGGGGACGGACATAGACCCCACCTCTTGATGGGAGGATGACAAGGTCACACTGTAGAGAACATGTGGGATAGGAGATACTGTTGCAGCCATCTTTGGAGAATCCTATCTGCCATTCTAGTGAGGATGTGTCATCTTTAGGTTCCCCCAACAGTCATGAAGGGACATGCCCATCAACCAAACCCCACTCCATTCCGGTCGGGGAGAGGGTTTACGGCCAGTGACAGCTGGATGGGTTTGAATCAGCTCTCTCCTCCAAACAACAAACCTGGGGACCAGCCTGTCTGCCGTAACACCTAACGAGTGGCGGGTATGCTGGCCTTACCTTAATACCACCACACCAGCTCCGGCCCGTCTGAGCGCCGTAATCTCCCAGTTACTCCCCATGCAGTACCTCCAGCCTTTGCACGTGCTGTCTCCTCTGCTAGAACACCCTTCCTCTGGCAAACTCAGAATGAGCTCTCTGCACAGCCTGGGTGCCATTCCTCCTCCTCCCTCCTTCCTGACCCTCAGGGCAACCCCAGAGCCCTGTGCAGCCCTAATAATGACCCGTCTGTCCCCAGTAGCTCACACAGACTCGGGAGGGTCTGATTTGTTTCTTTCTGTCCAGCATCCAGGACAAGCACTTGACAGAGGGGCACTTGGTCAATGCCTGTTGAATGATACCCTGCTAGCAAACATGGCAGGTGGGTCCCCACCTGGTCTGTCCTGCATCCTCGTCCATCTTAGAGATGCTGCAGTTCTCCAGGATCATGTGGCCAGAGATGTCCAGGGACATCAGGTTCCCCAGCTTCTGCACAAAGAGGCTCAGCACCTTGCGAGTCAGCTTGAACTTGTAGTAGCTGGAGAGGCGGTCTCGGGAGATGTCCAGGTGTCTGGAGATTGGAGTTGGGGGCACAGGTCAGGAGCTGGACACAGACTGGGGCTGCCTCGTAGACCCCTCCTATTTCAGTCCATGGCAGGGGAGGGCCCATCCCTGTTACAACCACTCCAGGGCGTTCTGGGAAAAAACGTGCTGGGACCCAGGTGCCCTTAACAGCCCCGGTCAGACCAAAACAGTGGGTTTAAGGAATAGGACTGTCTCTTCTATCCCCACCTTCTGCCTGGCCGGGGGCTCAGGAATCTTCTGGGACTGACAATCCGCACCTCCCCACCCCCACCCCGCGAGCTCTGGGCTCGCAGCTCACCGCAGCTTGTGCAACTGGACAATAACACGGATGTGGTCGTCAGACAGGTCCATGTTGTAGAGCACGAGGGACACCAGGCTGTCTTTCCACTGGGTTAGGAAGGCCGCGTCGCTCGTCTGGATGCCCGAGAGGTCCAAGGCGGCCAGCGAGTTGAGCGGCCGCAGCAGGGACTCCACGGGGACCCCATCGATCATGCGGCCCAGGTTCAGGAAGCGCAGGCGGCTAAAGCCCTCGAAGGTGAAGTCCTTGACCAGCACCTGACAGGTGGGGTTGACGAGGCACTCGTCTTCACAGCCCCCCGGGTTCTCCTCCTCGTAGAAGATGTTCGCGCAGCCGAACAGGCTCAAGGACACCAGGGTGTGGCTGAAGCTCCTCAGCGTCTGCAGGCTCTTGGCGGACAGCTTCTCGCAGTTGGTCAGGTACAGCTCCACCAGGTCCTGGCGGCGGGCACAGCCCCGTTATCACCTCTGCACCCACACCCCAGCCTAGGCCTGGCCCTGAGCCACACGTGGGGCTTGGGGAGGGGTCTGCACGAGGGGGAGAGCCCTGGAGGCGCCTCAGGATTCCTGGGCTGGAGGTGACCGGTCCTGCCCCAACTCTGCCTGACCGTCTCAGGGTGGCCTCCCCCGGCCATCCCCGGTGCCTGGTGACCAGGTCTCACCTGCTTGCGAATGGCTTCCAGGTCCTGGTCCTGCACCAGGTCCTCGCGGAGGTGGATTCGGGTGAGGCGGGTGCTGCGGGGGTCTGAGAAGAGGCTGAAGAAGCTCTCATGCGGCTCAAAGTTGCAGGCGGCGTTGACCAGCTCCACATACCTGGGAGGGAAGGAAGCCTGGCTCAGGGGAGGGACCCGCATGCTACCTTCAAGGCCCAGCACAAGCCCTCCCCTTCCTCTGAAGCCTTCCCTGGCCACCCCGGCAGCAACCTCCACCTCCTCCCCTCCTCTTCCTCACAGCACCTGGTTGGATCCGGACTACCCTACAGATGAGATTAAGGGTGGCCCCAGCACCCAGGAGTCCAAAGGTAGACCAGCTGGTGATAAAGGGGCCTCTAGCAATGGCAAATCCCAAGCTCTTCCCCGCCAAACTGTAGACGCTTCTATAACAAACATTCACGTCCACACTCCCCATCTTCTTTAAGCCAGCTTCTGATTCCTTGATCAGCCCTTCCCAGAACCCTGTCCAACAGGAAGACTGAGCCGAGGGGTTTGGAGTTCCCAGCTGGGTACAGAGCGAGCGCTCAACAAAACTCTGTTGAGATACCAGCAGATGCTGGTCTGGTGGAAAAGGCTGTGGAGTCATACACCACCCTGGCTTGGCTGTTCACTACCTGGGCAACTTCACACGAGTAACTGCAATTCCCCAGACCTCAGTTCCTTCATCTGTAAAATGGACACAACTCTGCTCTGCAGTGTCCAATATAGTGCCTGACCCACATTAGATGCTCAGAATGTTTTTACAAGTTGGGCTCTCAGGTCACACACAGGTTCCCACTTTTATATGCAACTGTCTGGTCTAACAATTTCCCTCTGGGCATCTGGACCGAACCTCCAGCAGTCAGGCCTGTGTATCACCCTTCTAGGAGCCTCTATTAGTGGGGAGTCCCTTGGAGAAGCCACAGAGAGATTTTCTGAATGACCTGATCCCTGCTCAGGGGTCCATTGTTCCGGCACTGGTGCATAAATATGTATGTATTCAGGTTCACACACAGACACGTGTTCACAGGCACAGGCGCATCGTGTGTGTACGCACACACGTGTGCGTACACAAATACACACACAGGACAGCATATAACTCCTTCATTTATATTATAGGAGAGGTTTCTACACCCTCTCATAGGTGTAATGCATACCTGCAGTTTTACACTCAAACCTACCCTGTGCTGCAGAAGCCCACGTGTGTGCAAACACATTCCTTCACGTGCGCCCCCCTCCACACACATACCAACATGCGCAATTACAACTTCATGGTTATGGAGGGGCCAGTGTTCTCTTGCACCCACGGATCCCCACGTGTGTGCATATCCCCACGGGGGGCACACACAATGCTCCCAATCTCTCGCACACACTCATGCTGAGGCTCAGGCCCCTGCCCCAGCCCCACGCCTGCTCACTCGTTGACGAGCCGGTCACAGATCTCGCTGGGCAGGAAGATGTCTGGATGGAGCCGCAGAGTCTCCTTGTCCAGCAGGTAGCCCAAGGTACCATCCAGGTTGCGCAGGCAGAAGTCAGTGCAGAGGGCCATCAGGGACTCAGGGGTGTCTGACGCCATGCTGGGAGCAGACAGGTAGGCCACTCTGGGACAGGGGCCCCCAGGGGCAATGGTGACTCCCTGACACTCACAGGATCATTAGCTGAGCCACGGCCTGGGGAACGGGAAAGAAGCTAAGTGAGCCATGCATAAGGGCCAGAACTACCAGCTGCCCTATGTCCATCCTCTAGTAGAAAAACTGAGGCCCCTGGATGGTACATACAAGCTAGCAGCTTAGCAGGGTCAGGGCCCGGGACTCCTGATTCCTCCCTTCCCTGCCCTGCTGTGCTACCACCTACATGTGATTTGACCTGCAAAGAACAGGGGGCGTTGTCTGAGCATTTCCATGACCTCCCAATGTCTGTGGGCAGATGTGTGTGCTGGGGACCCAGTGCTTGGGTGGGGATTACAGGGGATTTTTTTTGGCCACACCACACGGCTTGTGGGATATTAGTTCCCTGACCAGGGATTGAACCCGGGCCACGGCAGTGAAAGCACCGAGTCCTAACCACTGGACCGTCAGGGTGGTGTCCGTTGCTGTGTGTGTGTGAGTGTGTGTGTGTGTGTGTGTGTGTGTGTGTGTGTGTGTGTGTGTATAACCTGCATATAGCTGTCACTGTTTGAATGCTTAGTATGTGCCAGGGCTTTAAAGACACGTCATCAGTGAATCTCATTGTATATGATTAAGAATGAAGGCTCCTCACGAGAGCAATGAAAATATACTTCCACATAAAAGTTGTACATAGTGGTATTATCCATAATAGTCAAAATGGAAACAATTCAAATGCCCATCAACTGATAAACGGATAGACAAAAACATGGTATAGCCATATAATGGAACCTTATTTAGCAATAACAGGAATGAAAAGTACTGACACACGCTACAACACTGCACCTTAAAAACGTTATGCTAGGGCTTCCCTGGTGGTGCAGTGGTTGAGAGTCCGCCTGCCGATGCAGGGGACGCGGGTTCGTGCCCCGGTCCGGGAAGATCCCACGTGCCGCGGAGCGGCTGGGCCCGTGAGCCATGGCCACTGAGCCTGCGCGTCCAGAGCCAGTGCTCCGCAACGGGAGAGGCCACAACGGTGAGAGGCCCGCGTACCGCAAAAAAAAGAAAAACGTTATGCTAAGTGAAAGAAACCAGTCACAAAAGGCCACATATTTTATGATTCCATTTGTATGAAATGTTTAGCCAGAACAGGCAAACCTACAGAGACAGAAGTAGATTAGTGGTTGCCTGGGGCTAAGAGGTTGGTGTGGGGGCGGGGATGGGGAGTGACTGCTAATGGCTGTGGATTTCTTTTTGGGGGGAAGAAAATGTTCTAAAATTGACTGTGGTGATGGTTGCACAACTCTGTGAATATCCCCGAAACCCACTGAACTGTCTACTTTAAATACATGAACTGTATGGCATAGGAATTACAGCTCAATAAAACTGTTATTAAAAAAGTAAGGTCTTGGGCTTCCCTGGTGGGGCAGTGGTTAAGAATCTGCCTGCCAATGCAAGGGACATGGGTTCAAGCCCTGGCCTGGGAAGATCCCACATGCTGCGGAGCAACTAAGCCCGTGCGCTACAACTACTGAGCCTGAGCTCTAGAGCCCGCAAGCCACAACTACTGAAGCCTGCACGCCTAGAGCCCGTGCTCCACAGCGAAAAGCCATGACAATGAGAAGCCCGCGCACGGCAACGAAGAGTAGCCCCCACTCACCACAACTAAAGAAAGTTTGTACACAGCAACGAAGACCCAACACAGCCAAAAATAAATAAATAAATTTATTTATTTATTAAAAAAAAAAAGTAAGGTCTTGGGACTTCCCTGGTGGTCCAGTGGTTAAGACTCCGTGCTCCCAATGTTGGGAGCCTGGGTTTGATTCCTGGTCAGGGAACTAGATCCCACATGCTGCAACTAAAGATCCCACATGAGGCAACGAAGACCCTGTGTGCTGCAAATCAGACCCAGCACAGCCAAATAAATTAATTAAAAAAAAAAAAAGTAAGCTCTCATCAGACAGAGAAACACAAATACTGTATGATATCACTTACATGTGGAATCTAAAAAATAGAACAAACTAATGAATATAACAAAAAGGAAACAGACTCACAGAAATAGAGAACAAACTAGTGGTTACCAGTGGGGAGAGGGAAGGGGAAGGGGCAAGACAGGGGGAGGGGAGTAACAGGTACAAACTATCATGTATAAAATAGTTTATAAGGATATATTGTACAACATAGGGAATACAGCCAATATTTTATAGTAACTATAAATGAAGTGTAACCTTTAAAACTGTGAATCAGTATGTTGTACACCTGTAACATATAATATTGTACATGAACTATACCTCAATAAAAAAAAAGTGAAGTCTCCTACTACCTTCATGACCTTGAGATAGGTAAAGATTTCTTAAGTAGGACTCATAAGGGAAAAATGATAAACTGATATGCACCGAAGTGAAGAATGTTCGTTCATATACACACAAAAATTAATTTGACATGGACCACAGACCTATACGTGAAAGGTAAAACGATAGGTTTCTAGAAGAAAACATAGGAGTATATCTTTATGATTTTCGAGTAGTCAATAATTTCTTAAATAGGTCACAAAAAAAAACAGAGAGAAACTGATAAATTGGACTGCCTCAAAATTTAATGTTCTTTTCATCAAAAGGTACCATTAAGAAAGAGAAAAGGCAAGGGACCTCCCTGGTGGCGCAGTGGTTAAGAATCCGCCTGCCAGTCCAAGGGACATGGGTTCGAGCCCTGGTCTGGGAAGATCCCACATGCCGTGGAGCAACTAAGCCTGTGAGTCACAGCTACTGAGCCTGTGTTCCAGAGCCCGCGAGCCACAACTACTGAGCCCACGTGCCACAACTACTGAAGCCCATGCACCTAGAGCCCATGCTCCACAACAAGAGAAGCCGCTGCAATGAGAAGCCCGCACACCACAATGAAGAGTAGCCCCCGCTTGCCGCAACTGGGCAACGAAGACCCAACGCAACCAAAAATAAATAAATAAATAAATTTATAAAAATAGGAAAAAAAAAGAAAGAGAAAAGGCAAGCCACAAACTAGAAGACGTTTCCAATAATATATCCAACAAAAGGCTTGTATTCAGAATATATAAACAACTTCTACAGATCAGGACATAGCATCCAGTTAAAAAATAGGCAAAGGACTTGAACAGGCGTTTCATAAAGGATAAAGAAATGCGCAATAAACGTAAAGGAAAGGAGAACCATAATGAGATACCATTTTGCACCCACCAGAAAGGTTCCATTGGAAACAACAGTAATACAGGCAACACCCAGCTTGTGTTATAGTGAAGCTATGGAACGAGGGGAAGTTACCCACACTGCTGGTGGGAGTGTGAATTGGTGTGAACTGGCAGTGTAACGAATACTGTGTGACACTATCTACTAAAGCTGAACAAACACATATGTTCAGTGTTCAGCAGCTCCACTACCAGATATACACCCATCAGCAATGCATATAAATGTTCACAAAAAGACACAGACAAAATGTCCACAGCAGCACGATTCCTGATAGAACAGAACCTAAATGTCCACTGACATGAGAATGAACATTAGGGTCCACTCACCAGGGAAACACTACACAGCAATGAGAATGTACCACCTCACAACAGCTTGGATGGACCTCACAATGTTTAGTGAAAGGAGCCAGACGCAAAAGAGTGTATACTCATATACTGAATGAACCCATTTATGTTTTACTCCCTTAAGTTAAAAAACAGGAAAATCTGGGACTTCCCAGTGGTCCAGTGGTTAGGACTGCATGCTTCCACTTCAGGGGGTACGGGTTCGATCCCTGGTTAAGGAACTAAGGTCCTGTATGCCGGTGGCAGGGCAAAACAAACAAACAAAATAAAAAAAAACAGGAAAATCTAATCTGTGGTGGCAGAAGTCAGGATTGTGGTTACTTTGGGGGTTTGGTTCGGAGCTAAGAAGCTTCTAGTCCCTTACCTGAGTGCTGGGCATACAGGCATGTGCACTTTGTGAATATTCAGGGAGCTGTATATTATGACGTGTGCACTTTTAAAAATGTATACTGCGATTCAACAAAAAGTTAAGAAAATGGCCTGGACACCTAAGAGGTCCACGTTTAAAAGGAATTCGGGGTTCAGCGAAGTAACGATCTAACTGACTATGCATCCTCAGCTACAATAAGTGGCTAGGAGAGAATGAAAACTGAACCTTCACATTCAAGTTGAGTGAACAAGATAGAAAACAATCCACCATTTATAGACCTGAGGACAGTCAGGAATTAGTCCCAAACCTTTTTCCTATGAGAGTTTACATCAGAAAGGGGAAAAAATAGGCAAAATGAATCTATGGTGTTAGAAGTAAGGGTGGTGATTACCTTTGCAGGGAGGCAGTAATTAGAAAGTGACAGGGGGGCCTCTGGGAGGGCTGGGACAGGTGTTTACACCTGTGGAAATTCATCAAACTGTCTGCTCATGCTTTGTGGTCCTTTCCTTATCTATATTATCCTTCAGTAGCTATTGCTTTTTTTCCCTTTAAGTGAAGGCTCTAGGTTAGACAGATCTATGTTTCAATCCAGTTCCACAATTCACGGGTCTATTACTTAACCTCTCTGGACCTCAGTTTCCTCGCCTGGAAAGTGGGGACAATAATCCCCACTTCACAGGGCTGTTGGGAAAATGCCTCATCTCAAGCTTGAGATGACTCAGTGCACAACAAATGGTGGCTATGAGCCCACCTTACAGATGAGGAAACTCAAGCTCAGAGAGAGGGTCTACTCTGTCCAAACTGGCATGTGCACCTCATCTCGTGGAGGGTTATGCAGGAGCTCAGTTTGCCCCTGGCTTCTTGGAGCCTCCTAGTCCACATGTGAGCCTTCCAGGATGCTCAGGAAACCGAGTGGGCGCCACAGAACGCTGTGCCCTTTGCAGTGGCCAGCTCTCAATTCCGGCAGCACCACTCACTGGTGACCGTGCTCTAAGAGCTCTGGAGCCAGGCCGACCCAGCTCCAAGTCTCAGCCCTGCTGCATAAGAGCCGGTGAACTTGGGCAAGTGCCTTCACCTCTGTGCCTCAGTTTCTTCTCTAAAATAGAGAACACTGTGTGCAGATGGACACGG